AAGCAAACACATCCTTCTTCACAAGGCAGCAGGAGAGAGAAGTGCTGAGCAAAAGGGGGGAAACACCTTATAAAACCATCAGATCTTGTGAGAATTCACTATCATGAGAATAGCAGCATGGGGGTAACTGCCCCCATGATTCAATTACCTCCCACTGGATCCCTCTCACAACATGTGGAGATTATGGGAACTACAAGTCAAGATGAGATTTGGGTGGCAACACAGTCAGGTGATATCAGTAGCCGTGTTAGAATAAATGTATCATTGTGATCTGTGAATCACGGAATTTTTGAGACAACTAAAAAGTGAAAAATTCGTTTAACTGTATATTTTTTGAACACAAGAACCACTGGTTTTAATATTCTCTCCACACCCCATCAATGACATAAAACAAAGGCATTTTTTTTTTTTTCATCAATGACATAAAACAAAGGCATTTTTTTTTTTTTGGTGCTGTTGATAATACTATTTGGACTGGGTTGTGTTTACTCCTTAGATATTATATGTGACATAAGTGAGTTGAAACAAAACTACAAACTGTATTTAATTTAATTTGATGCAGTTTCTTTCCAAATAAAAGTTCATTTTTCTTCTTTACAATTGACACTGGTGATTTCTTGTCTTTGAATTCAATTATACTGTAAGAGCAGAACTTTTAGCAAATGAAGCCACAGAGATGACCCAGAAATTTCAGTTAGTTCGTCAGTGTAGATACTGGTGTAACTGGCCTATTGAACAGTCTGAACTTGGCAATGTACAATAATGAAAAAAATTTTTTCCATCCATTGCTTTTAATCATGCTCTGTTGCATCTCCTTTTCTTTCTAACTAGCTCTTGGGCAAGAGTAGATACTAAAACTCAATCTCTAATCAACTCTAATCTCATCTTCTCCCTAATTCCTGTCACATGCCTTGTCTATGGCAGGGTGGATTTGTAATGGGGAAGCTCCTTCACTTCTCCCAGCTGCTGTAGGGCTGGGGCAATGCAGAGGTAACAGAGAAAGGGACAGAGACCTTTATACTTACTAACGCACCATTGTAATCCTTTCTTATACACTGCAACTTCCTCAGCCAGTAATGGGCAGTTAGTCCCTTCTCTGTGTGAATATGTAGGTGTTTTCTCTCTAGGGACTTAAGCATGGTTCTTTCAAGGTCCTTGCAGGAAGGCCTCCAAACTGCATAGTTGCCGCTGTAGATCTCTGGCTTCTCCTCTTCTACCTCATTTCCTTGTCCCTGCCTCTCAGCTGTCACCCTGCAGTCTCTTGTTTCTTGATTCTACTTGTCTAATACTAAGGCAGTTCAGGTCCAGCTACCTTACATATATACCCACCTGATCCAATGGAACTGACACAGCTTTCCTGTGACAAAAGGTGGGACTGTAAGCCTTCCTCTCGTCATTCCCATTTTGTCCTGCCACATCTCACCAACCTCCCATCTCCTCTAGCTCAAATAGGCACAGGAGGGCTTATGAACAAATCTGAATCAAAAGCTACTTTATTTTATTTTACTTTTTTGTGGGAGACCGGAGTTTTATTATTATTCAAATCAGTCTCTTGAGTATTCAGGAAGCAGAGTTTTTAAGGATAATTTGGTCGATGAAGGGAAGCCAATGAGCCACAAGTGCTGATTGGTCAGAGATGAAATCATAGGGAATGGAGGCTGTTTTCTTGCACTGAGTCAGTTCCTGGGTGGGGGCCACAAGATCAGATGAGCCAGTTTATTGATCTGGGTGGTGCCAGCTGATCCATCAAGTGCTGGGGCTGCACAATATCTCAAGCACTGATCTTAGGAGCAGTTGAGAGAGGGGGTCAGAAGCTTGCAGCCTCCAGCTGCAGGACTCCTCAACCACAATTTGTAATTTGGTGGCTAATGTTAGTCCTACAAAGGCAGTCTAGTCTCCAGGCAAGAAGGAGATCTGCTTTGGGAAAGGGCTGTTACCGTCCAAAAGCTATTTTATAATGACATGTCTGTCTGCCCTTCCTATTGGCTTCTGCATCTCTGTGAGTATCTTGGTGCCTTCCTTGGTAGATTGGGGCAGGTGGGAATCCTCCTCATTCCATTCTGTGGGATAAGAAAAAGCTGACACTCCCCTCTCTAGATTGACTGCTCTCAGCGCTGATGATTTTTTTGGGTCCTGTCCTAGTCGTTTGGTAATAGCCACAGGAAATGAGGGTGACAGGTAGAGGATAAACGGTCATGTGGCTGCCTCTTGGTCTGCCTGGGATGTGTCCAGTACCAGTGAGTAGTGGTATGTTTGGATATTTGCTTCTAGTTGTCTATCTACCCATGATTTGATAATGATAAATGGTTCTATTAGCTTGTACCATATGAATACCACTTTTTTTCTAAACCAAAAATGGTCAAATACGGGCAGTTTCATATACGAGGTGGATTTAGTCATCCTTCACCAATCCTGGTGTTTTGTTTGAGTTCAGAGTTGAAAATCCCCTCTGACAGTTTTGGGGTGAAGAAGAATTGGGAGTTTCAGCCAAGGCTCCTTATTACTGTTCTGGTTTAATAATTGGGCAAAGTTATTGAGCCTTCCCTAGTTATTGAAGGGAACTTCAACAGGAATGAAAAAGCAAACTTCAGCAATGAGAATTTTTCTTTTTTTTTAACTTTAAAGTGGAACTTGTCAATTTGGGAATGTTTTTGGTACACATTTTAAAATATTTTATTTTCTTATTAAAAACAATAAAAACTCTAATTGTTATCCAGAAAATAACAATGTAAGAACCTGAGAAACCTGATGGGAGTTTAAAAAATTTGTCAATAATAGTAGTCCCAGCTACTCAGGAAGCTGACGCAGGAGAGTCACTTGAACCCGGGAGGCAGAGGTTGCAGTGAGTTGAGATTGCGCTACTGCACTCTCCAGCCTGGATGACAGAGCAAGACTCCATCAAAAAAGAAAAGAAAAGTATATCTCCCTGTATTGAGTGAATTCAGATAGAATGTTCTAGAATTACATTGTTTTCCCATTATTGTTACCAGGCAGCCACATCCATGGAAATGCCAATTTGTGGGACATAGTTATTTCCACCAGGTTGTTAGAGAAGTAAAACAGTCTCAGGAACAAAAGGCCCTTTTGTACCAATATGAAGGAAAGAACATAATTTTAATATTGGGTATTTATCAAAATTACATGCATGTAGGGTAGCATGAAAGTGATTACAAAGTCTGTACAGAATTTTATACGAACTCACGTAGGAAAGTGGAAGACAGAACAACTAACACTTGAGAGACCAGAGGATGCACTTGTGATTGCCTTATGTATCCCTTGTGGGAGATCCCTGAGCCAGTTTTAAATGTTAGAAAGCCCACGTATTTGCGCTGTAAAATTATGAATAAAAGACTGAGCCTTTAAATCAGGCCTATTGTATGTTCAAGGAGACACCCTAAAGAGGAGAGGGTGGGTAGGCAGCAGCCTCCCTCTTTAGAGAAAGTGTCATGGTTGTACCTTTATGAGGTACTTTTAAGAGTGTTAATGGCTACAATTATAGTCACCAGTTTGTTGTTGTGTATCACAAAACTTCAACACATTCACGTCCTTTGACCCAGTAGTTCAAGTTCTAGAAATCAGTTTGTAATAAATATTTACATTCGCCTTATTTGTGTACAAGGAAGTTCATGTCAGAATTAGGTATGAGTAAGAATTTAGAAACAATCTGATGTCTGTCAATAAGTGTTGGTTAAATTAAACGTGGTGCATCTTCCCATGTCATCAAATATATTCATTGTAAATTTAATGACCTGGAAAGATGCTCAAAATATATTACCAGATGAAAAAAAATCACGACAAAACCTTTCATGTATATGATCCCAATCTTTATACCTAGACATGTACCAGAAAAATATCCAAAGGATTTTAATAGGGCTTATGTCTACAGGATGTATGAGGATAGCTTATATTCTACTTTATACTTTTGTCTATATTTTTCATTTATATTTAGATAAATTTATATTAAGAAAAATGAATGCTATAAAAACAAAATGAATTGTAAGCTAGCATTTAATAGTAGCTGCTGTTCGAGTATCTTTAATCATTTTTAATGAAAATTTCTTTTGGACTTGCCATTTGTGCTGTAGAAGAACATCTGTTTTAATATCTTCCTGGCTGTATTTCATTTGTACATATTTTCTCTAAGTACTTGGAGTCTACTTTTCTAAGTGTGTTTCTGTCATAATCCCTTTGATCTTGAAGAAGCAGCATCAGGCCAGGAGCTAGAAATTCAAATAATAACTCTAAACCTGTTAGGATTTGGTGAGAAGTCTGTAGTAACATTTCCTAATCTTTTGCTCATCTGTCATTGCACAGATAATGGACAGAGGAACCAAAATTATATGACTATTCAGCCAGATTCAATACCTAAAAAGGAGTGGATACTGAAGGGCTTAAGTGGGTGGAGAAAGAGAAGGGAGGATCAGTCTTTCCAATATCCCTGCTCTCCAAGGAAAAGGATGCAAGGAAAGACTCTGTCTCTCTATAGAAGGAAATCCCGAGTTGTTGTATTTCTCTGTAAGGGAAGAAGTGAGTAGAGTTATCAAAACAAATAGAAAACACTTATGGAAGATACACAGAGGAGTTAAGCTGCTTTAAGTTTTAAAAACCTGTCTTTCAAATTAAAAAATTATGCAGAATGCTTTAATTTATTTCTAACGTGTAATTGAAAATCTCTAATTGTAAAGATCTTGCAAATGCTTTTTGACTGAGAAGTTACAAGAGTTTTTCAAAAGAATGCTTACATTAATATGCAGGATTATTTGAAAAAAGTATTTAAATAGTCTGAATATTGGTAATTCACATATAGCAGATATAGTGATTCTCAGATAGAGAAATTATTCCATCATCTGGAGACCATCTATTTCCCCAAGTATCCTTAAGTTAAATTTCATTGTATTATTAACATCTGAAGATCTACCACTAGATGGCACTTAAAATACACGAGACTCGGAGGAATGCTTCAAATGAGGGGCAAGGAAAGACACAGGACAGGAATATAACTTGAGTTCTCAGAACAGTGTTCTCTGCTTGCAGGAAAGGAAGAAAAGCAGGCCCAAGATGATTCTGAGACAACTGGAGGGTAAGATTCTGAAAATGAACCTATAAGTGTTAGAATGTTTCTCTTTAAACATAATTTCCCTTCACCAAAATTACTATTGATTGGCAGGTTTTTAGCATTAAGACAACAGGCTGTTGGACTAATGAGAGTTTGGTAAATAGTGAAGGGCTGTGTTCTTTCTGAAGAGGTTTGGAGTATGCACCAGGAATCAAAATGTGCGGCTTTAATCCCAGCTCGGTGTCTGCTGTGTTGTTTGGCACCAGGCTAACTGCTCTTTTTCACCTGTGGTTAATTTGATTTGTGCACCTCTTATACATCAGGGGAGCAAAATCCGGTATAAGGACATTGTGATGCACAAAATTGAGCAGCAGAGTGTAAGCACTGATTTCAGGAACATGGCAGCAGCTGGCCAGTCTCACTGGATGTGGCAATCGGATATGGATGAAGTGGCAGGTACACTTGGAGGAGTGGTAGGGGATCATTTTTAGCCAAGGCATTATGCAACGCCATCAGGGAAAAAGCACAGGCAAGTAAACAACAGCCAGACCTGCAGTACTAGGCACCAGGCAGTGTGTGCAGCCAGAACACACAGGGAGGAATGATGGCTGTATCAGTGTGAGGGATTTGGTTCAGACTCTACAGCTAACCACCAGAGTGACCTTGGACTTGCTAAGATGTCTCTGGGCCTCTGTTTCCTCACTTAAAAATGGGAGAGTTTAGCTTACATGATTTCTGAAATCCCTTGTAAAGCTTTTAGATCCTATCAGGACACAATTATCAATTTTTTGATGTGGGCGTAGGAGAGATTTTATCATGCTCCCTGTTTTCTAGAACAGGACATGGAGGCTGAGAAAGCTGGTAAATGTCCTGGCTTCAAGTCTAGACATCGTCTATTCTTGCTGCCCCACAGTGTGACCTGGACTGTATCGGCTTCATTTGGACATCTGTAGGAAATGCAGCCTCTCAGGCCTCACCCTGGACCTTGTGATTCAGAATCTACATTTTTAATAAGACTGCCAGGTGATTCGTATGTACGTTAAAGTTGAGAAGTACCAGGCTGTACCATACTGTCTGAGCAAGCCCCAGGCTGCTGGTCAGAGGAGAGCTAATCTTATAGCTAAGATGTGTTTCCTTTTCTTTCTCATATGAGGACATCATGTAACTGAGGGGTGGGATTTATCCATTCCTTCAACAAATATTAGTTAAGTATCCACTATGACTCAGTCACTGTTACCCTCTGGCATAACAGAAAGGAACAAGAATGTGATCTCTGTCCTTGGAGAGGGGTAAAGAAATTATGTGTAGGGGTCCTTCTTCTTCCTCTTCCTCTCTTTCTGTCTTTTATGTCGGCTTAGAATTGTAGGGGGCAAGATGAGGTCTGCAGTCTTCAGTAGGCTTTGGTTGAGGATCTTTTTTTAACTTCAAAAAATCTAAGACAGGGTTTCTGACAGTAAACATGATTGAAATTTTGGATCAGATAATTCTTTGTTGTGGGGAATTGTTTTGTGTTTCTCGTAGGACATCTAGCAGTATCTCTGGCTTCTATCCACAAGATGCCAGCAGCAACCCCTGAATTGTGACAACCAATAATGTCTACAGACATTGGAAATGTCCCTGGAGACTTTATCACCCCCAGTTGAGAACTAGTGAGAGGACCCAGGGTATAGTCCAGAGGAGAGACCATCAAGAGCCATTTAAGGCTGATTGCACATAAAGGTTTCAGAAAAAGGGGTAAACAGGAACTTGAGCCTTCTTTATCATTGTCAATCCCTTTCTCAGCAGTAAGGAAGTACATGTAGGTTTCAGGGCAGAACATCTATTTAGAATTAAGTAGTAACATTGTATTTAAAGTTTGTTTAGAGTTGTTTCTTACAGAAATGAGGTAGAAGAGGGGAAATCTCTCTTACAGTTTCTGTACTCAAAGCACTCTCTGAAATAAATTAGAATTGTTTCTCTGGACAGCCAAGATTTACTCACCCCTCCTGGTGTTTTTTGTTTGCTTTCCTTTTTAGGTGACAAGACTTAAGTAGAGAAATACTGGTTTCACATTTTGAGCCAACCAGATAATCTGTGGATACATTTTGTAGTCCATTGTAGATCCCCAAACAACCAGATGCCTTTTTTCTTCTTTGGAATCAGTAGGATTTAAATAATATGCCTGGAAGACTTCTGAACCACTAGCATCTTCAAGTTCCTGGCTAAATTTACAGGTGAGAGAGGACATACTTCTAAAGTGATTCTACTGCAAATAAACACCTCTGGAGTGAAAAGAGAGCATTTCTCTTGGACAAAAGCCAAAACTGAACAGTCGTACAAACCCTCTGTGTTCCTGAGTCACGAGTGGAGGGAGATGTGACCTTTCCACAGTTTTGTGTAAATTTCAGAAGGCTAGTCTGTCTTGGCTCGATTGTGGCTTGACCTCTGTCCTGTAGGAGCAAGAACTGACTTCCTGAAATCCCTCTTCAAACTAAAAATCAGCTCTCTTGACTCATTTGTTTAACCCCTGCGACATATGTTAAAGCTGTGGACTTAAAATGCTGGAGAGGGGCTGGAGCAGCGGGGAAATCTCTGGGTCCCACACAGCCTTTCTCGCGACTGGCAATGTGAAGTGTATTATTGAAAAAGGCTGGCAGCTCAAGGCATTGTTTGGCTTCCTACCTTGGCAACAGCAAGCAGCAAACTGTAGGGAAGTTTTCCCCTAATCTGCTGGCAGCTTCTACACTGGTGAAATGCAATATGTAGTTTGCAGCACACTGATCCCTAAGAAGTGAATAATTTACTTGAAGTAATTTTGCCGCTACCATGTTTTCAGACATCTTTGCCAACTGTGGGGAACATAGTCTGTTTTGACAATCACCAATAACCAATTTTCTCTGGGGGCAATTAGGGTAAGGCCTTGGGATGCCCAGCTGAGGGTGCTAAATGCAAGTTCACCCTGTAGGCAAATTGCAGTATTTACTTCCTTGCTACTCAAAGTGGACTGAGAACAATGACAGCAGCTACATGGGGGCTTGTTAAAGGTGCAGAATCTTGGGCCCACCCCAAACCTACTGAATCAGAATTTGCATCTTAACAAGGTCCCCAGGTAATTCATATACATGCTTAAATTTGAAAAGCAATGCTGTTTTAGATCAGCAGTTCTTAACCTTGCCTGAACTTTAGAATTACTTGGTGAATTTTGAGATATCCTGATGCCCAGGCTAAAATCTAGACTAGCGGTTTTCAACTGGGGATGATTTTGCTTCCTAGGGGACATTAGGCAACATCTGTGGACAATTTTGACTGTCACAACTGTAAGGGTGCTACTGACTTATAGTGGGTACAGACCAGGATATGGCCAAGCATCTTAAAATACAGTGGACAGCCCTTCACAACAAAAAATTATCTGAACCAAAATAGCAGGAGTGGCAGCATAGAAATGTCTTTTCCAGACCAATTAGATGAGAATCTCTGGGGGTGGGAACCAGTAACCATGGTTTTTTTTTTTTTTTTTTAAATATGAGATGTAGTCTTACTCTTTTGCCCAGGCTGGAATGTTGTAGCATGATCTCAGCTCACTGCAACTTCCACCTGCTGGGTTCAAGCGATTCTTCTGCCTCAGGCTCACAAGTAGGTGGGACTACAGGTATGTGCCACCACGCCCAGCTAATTTTTGTATTTTTAGTGGAGACCGGGTTTCACCGTATTGGCCAGGCTGGTCTCAAACTCCTGAACTCGTAATCCATCCGCCTCGGCCTCCCAAAGTGTTGGGATTACAGGCGTGAGCCACTGCACTGGGCCGTAAACAAGTATTTAAAAAAAAAAAATACTTCCCAAGTGATTCCAATGTGCAGTCAAGGTTGAGAACCATTGATAGATTTGTTGCTAGAGAGCCATCAAGACAAGGAGTTTGGATTTTATAGGTCCTGAAAGAGAACTTGGTTCCAGAATATGGGGTAAGTTGAACTATGGTGGGTGCCCAGTGCTTCAGATGTGGAAGGAGGAGGACTATGGGACAGGGATGCAGATGAGACTAGTCAGGAATCACCAAATTGGCCCTTAAATAAGCAGGTTCAGAGACCTACTGTAAATCCAGCAGGGAACTAAAGGGTGTAAATCAATACCTGGGGTAAAAGTCTAGTCATAGGCACTTTCTCAGTGACTCATTTCTGTGCAACAAACTACTCCAAAACTTAGTGGTTTAAACAATTTCTTACTATTTATTACAGTTCTTCCTGTTGCTTGACTAGGTTCAGCTGGATGGTTCTCACTTAGGGCCTCTCATGTGGATGCCATCAGGTGTTGTCTGAGGCTGCAGTGCCCTGAAGGCTTGTCTGTGCTGGACATCTGTGATGGCTCACTCACATGGCTGGTGGTTGATGTTGGCTGTTGGCTGAGGACTTAGCTCAGTGCTTAGTGAGGCTATTGACTGAAACACTGCCCATGGCTACTCCGTGTGCTTTGGGCTTCTCTCAGTATGACAGCTGGGTTCCCAGAGGGAGCATCCCAAGAGGCCAGAACAGATGCTCCTAGGCCTCTTATGATAGAGCCTCAGAAGTCCCTCTGTTTAACCACTATTACACAGAAGTGTAACCACATTCTATTGCTTTAAGCAGTTCCAAGGTCCAACCAGATTCAAGGAGCTGTGAAATAGACTTCATCTCTTTTTTTTTTTTTGAGATGGAGTCTTGCTCTGTTGCCCAGACTGGATTGCAGGGGCTGATCTCAGCTGGCTGCAAGCTCCGCCTCCCGAGTCCCGCCATTCTTCTCCCTCAGCCTCCTGAGTAGCTGGGACTATAGGCGCCCGCCACCACACCTGGCTAATTTTTTGTATTTTTATTGGAGACGGGTTCACTGTGTTAGCCAGGATGGTCTCGATCTCCTGAGCTCGTGATCTGCCTGCCTTGGCCTCCCAAAGTGCTGGGATTACAGGCATGAGCCGTATCAGGCCCTGAAATAGACTTCATCTCTTAATGGAGGAGGGGCAGAAGAACATGTGGGATGGGAGATGTTGCTGAAGCCCTCTTTGGAAAATACCATCT